AGCGGCCTGTATACACATTGTATTAAAAAGGCTTCCAATAAGGCACAATATTTGTTGTCCAACTCGCTGGTTGCCATATCACGCGCGCACTCGCGTTTATAAATCAAAATTCCGGTCCACAACACAACCCCGGTTTTCGCCCACACATCGTGTGCACTTCTGTCCGGTTTATGTGCGTGATCGACACCTTCTGCCGGGGGTTTTCCGCCTGTCACTCCTCGTCAGTTGGTCCACAATCTATCCGCTTTGGACGTTGGCCGTATTTCACGACCGCCTCGAGATATTCCACCGAGTGTTGGAATAACCATGTCTCCGATTTTGTCATTCACCCTGTTTTGCTTTCAATGTCGCGTCCGTTGATCCGATCTCGTTGAGCGATGGCTCATCCGGTCGCTCGTGTTGCCCGAGATCCGATCTTTATGAGCTTTTAGAATTGCCTTGCCGCGGCGTCGAGGTATTCTGCCGAGAGTTGGAATACTCGTTCCTCCGGTTTGATGATCCACTGCAACATGTCCATATTTCTGTTCCGTACAACCAATCCCAGTTTGTTCGTTGGTTATATGTATTTGGGTAAATCACACGCCACCGTCGATACAAAATTTTTGACTTGTTTTAAATGATGCACTCCATTAGCGTTCACTTCTTTCCACTTTGAATCATTCGATACTTAAGGTTTACTGCTCGCACTTCAGTCGACTGTGTTTCTTTTACTTTCTTCTGTTAACGAACTGCACCCGTCCTCCGTTACCGTTTGGCACTTTGTGAAAGTAAAGAAACTTAGAATGTTGTGGTTCAGTTGCAATTGGCCTCGCTGTCAATCTCGAAATCTTCGATGCATACGTGTCCGTCATTGTTACAGTCATACCTCTGTGTGAATAGTGGATAACCGAGTAGTACGTAAAGTCACAATCTTGTTCGGTTCTCTCGTCCCCCAAATTGAATGAATTAGGATGTTGCCAACTCCTTGTTCGCCATAGACCTCACTTTAAAACGTATCCAAGATGTGTGTTACACAGCCGAATCGTGGCATGTGGAACTGAACACGATTCGTCAGCGCGCTTGCTGATGGATCCCCATTATTGAGTGACATCCAATCTTTTTATTCACGTTCGCTTTCAGTCCTCAGGTTTCACGAGTCTCAGAACGAAGTGAACAAAACTTCAAGATTACAGTAACAAACTTGAATGAAAATGGCACAGTGGTGTTTGTTGTGCAGTGTCTGTTGATCGCAAAATTGGTCAATGACTCTTCACTGCCACATTCTCTGCTTATTTTTTTCTTCAAAAAAGTGGTTGCTGTATGAGAGTGGTCATTATGATATATATATATATATATATATATATATATATATATATATATATATATATATATATATATACCAGAGTGGATATCACCGTATTGTCTATTATTTGTCTTTCACCCACCTGTAACATTCCAGAGACGAACATACTCGTTGATTTCTTTTCAGACGATATTTTTGTATGTGCACCTTTCAGAGTGCCTAATCATTTAATACCAACTTTCCCTTACCTTCGATCCACGCAATTTTTTACGTTTCCTGTCAGACTGGGTGTCCATGTTGGTTTTTTCGCTGTTACACTGTATTTTTCTGTAGCATCCTTTTGCAAATCGTAAAGAGGTTAGGTGGATTAAACTCTGCTCCCAAGAAACCTCTCGCCTCTGTCAACTAGCTCAACGGTGATTTCACTGAGATAGTGACTAATCTTTTTAAGCTTTCACAGAGTTCTGTTTTTCCAATTATCTGTCTAATTCCATTGTGACCTCAGTTGTTTATGAGAAACTTATCCGGTTGAAGTGCATCAAACCAGACGGATCTGCTTGTTTATTGTCAAGAGATATGCTAAGTTTTCGTGCCAATTTCTAGCTGAACCATTCAGTCATGGTTTCGCACACTACAAAGTAGATGATTGCTGGAGAACAGCGCTCATCACACTTTAACCTATGAAGGGGACAGCTAACTCTCATCTGATTTCCTAGACGTCTACGGTAATGCCTTTCGCAGACGCTGTTGCAAATTCTTGGCGAACCTGTCATTGGGTCATCAGCCGACTGCTTTATGTATCGAAGCCAGCTTAGTCAATTTAGTGATAAAACCTTATCATCGCTGACCGCTGGTTATGGCGTTCATTAAAGTATGATCCTCTCCTCGTGTTTGTTTTCTAAAACATCCTTGCCGGTTCACGACCGTGCTTATTTTTTTAAAAATTAAACTAAGCGGTTGATGTGGTGTTTAGTACCACGCGCCGGACTCGAGTTTCTTCGGCCATCCTACTGAACAGTTTATCCGAGCCGCCAAGTTGGTCAAAGCCCCTCAGTCTGTCTATCACCTCATCCAAATGTGTCGGTGTTTTGTCTTCGTTTATGAAGGGTGGTCAGTATAGGAAACTTCCTAATGACTGTTCATCTTTTCATGTGACTAACGAACTTCTTCTTCGACTTCTTGTTAAATGTCTGAAAATTATTTTGAGGGACAATATTTTATGGCAACTCCGTGTTAGTGTCGTTTCCTGTCACTTCATCAATCGACTTATCAGTGCATTTTTGCTCCCCATTTAGATCTTCTGTTCACCAGCTGTTTCCTGTCGCTTGTTGTCGAATGATTTTGCATGAAATTCTTATGTCACATCACATACTAGCGGTTTTCTCGAGATATGTGTTAATTTTATCGTTTCTTGTCATTTCACAGCGTGCAACAATTGTTCCATCTAAGATTCTACCTGACAAAACTTATCTTTATTCGAGGCTCTCTAAGTGCATTTTTACAGTAAATTCTGATGCAAGCATTTATTGGCACACATCCTTGCTTAGCTCAACTCCTTCATAAACCCGACGTTTTTCGACTACGAAATTGAATCAGTCGTTCTTTTCCGTTTAACCGATTGTCACCGTTTGCTAGCTTCTTCACGGGTTATCCTGTTTATCCGTGTCATACTTTTCAAGCTGTTTGAATTAATTGTCTTTCAGTTGATGAAAATATAAGTATAATAGTAAGGTGAAAACTTACCTGTTGGGGTGTATAAATATATCATTGACCTGACTTTAATATACAGCTTATTTTCTGGCTCCTTTATTTAACTCTTAACGGTCCTTATAAAAACATACTAATCAATGCGTTACTGTAGTGCTTATGTCGATCCCATAATTTGTCCTGATTGCAAACCGTGTTCTGACGTGGTCTGTTGATGTGAAATATGTTTTTCCAAGAGTAATAAAACTTTCCTTCATGCTTTAAGTTTCAAATTCTTCTTAATTTCTTCCACTCCACTCATGAGTATTTGTATTCCCCCATTAGCTATATTTTTCTGCAGTGGTTTTTTAATTTTCTACTCAGATTTCAAAATTTTCTGTTGGTTCGTGTAGTAGCTAACCGCTTGTAGCGTTTTTCGTTCTCATCTCACTATCGTACAGTCTGTTATCGTTTTACAGACTGTAAGTCGTCTCTTTCCAAGGCGTTGTTTAATTCCTTTGGATCCGTGTATACCAAACTTTCTAATTCTACATACGCATCTTCAGTTTGGTTCCACTGTAAATCTGGATACGCCCTTGCGTGCATCTACAGTTCTCCAACTGGGCCTCATCTGTCACGATTTCTGGTTACTCTCAATCTTCTGTGTAGAAGCGTATTGTCTAGCTTACTTCGCACCTTTATGTCTTCTAAAAAAGCTGAACATCCATCAATTAAAGTGTATAAGACAATTTCTTGGCATTACTCGATTGTTTGCCATTATTCACAAATACTTTATATATAATACGAGTACCGTAACCTTCCATGTTTTGCAGCTATGTTTGGACCATGTGTGTGAGCTCCTATTGGCATGGCCTACATCCTGGCTATTATCTGTCTTTTCTGACTATCCCGTTGGCTCTGGTTGCTGAGTCCGAGTTAGCTATCTTGGTTACCGCTTGTGGTCGTGGTCTTCCTCCGGGTAGCTTAAACTTCTTCTCGTGGCTATTGAAAATGCGCGTGTTCGAGTACTGTGCAATGGGATTTCTGTTACTGGACGCTCAGACTACTCTGGCCTACTGGCACAGCATCGGCTATTGTGTACACTGTGTACTAGTCGGTATCATCCTACTCACTGCCGTAGTTCGACGTGTTTGCCCGAAATCTGTAACGGTCCTTACATCCACAACGCTGAGCTCTACCGAACAACTTACCAGACTGACTGAACGACGTGTACGAATGGCTAAGTGAATGGTTTCAAACATATTCTGATAACTCATTTCCTCCCCCCAACATCTCCTTTCCATCTTCTCCTCATCGAAGGTGCTGTAATATCCACCGTATCTTGCCAACGATCGCCTGGTTTACAACGGTGAACTTTTCAATATAGTTGGGCCTCTAAGGAGCCAATCCTTTCAACTCCATTGTGAAAAAATAGCGCCTTTCCGCAAACTGCTTTATCGAATCAATAGTCCACCCCTATTTTTTGTTATCTCACCTATTTCGCCGAAATCTCTGTGGCTAATAACCCAATAGGCCTCATCGTCGCTATTCTGGTTGTCGTCTCGTCAAGCCTGATTTTATAAGGCGTTTTATGTGCTTGAGCTATAGAAATTGTTCGAATTAAAAACAGGACCCCATTTTTATTTCATACAGTTTATGAACTTCACACAGAGACATAGTGATTTCTCGTTGTTCTGCAGTTTCATTTCAATTACTTGGGTAGACCAATCGCATTTATTTTTTGTCTTTTTCTACGCTACTTTACTTTCTCCGCATTTTCTGATCTTTTACTTCAGCTCTGTTGCTTTAAAGATGATCGCCCAGTTTATTCTGTTTAAGTAGATTCGTGAACAAATGCTTTGACTTATTATCACTGCCTTTGGTTTGGTTTTCAATCTCGAAAATTACAGTGTTATAAGGCGAGGCTTTTTGCACCGTTATTTCTCAATTCCCGCTTTAAAAGCTTTCATTTAAAATACAATTTTTTAGAAGCCAGTCAAACAATCTGGCTCGATAAAATATTTTCTGGCGTGGCTTCATAGCTCAGCTGGTAGGGCGCTTTTGGGCATGGTGTTTCTGTCGCTGGTTCGAATCCTGCCGAAGCCCTTACTTTTCACAATTGGGTCTCATATAAAAAAGATATTTTCTGTTCATTAGGCAGTGATACTATAGTACATCAGTTCTTTGAGCACGCCAATGTGATGGTACGGGGAGCTGTTCACAATCCCGCCTGCTGAACATCCTGGCAATATACAATATCCGAATAAGATTTAGAAAAGCAGCTTACAGGATACTTCGGATTGAACGCCATCTGCGATTGGTTATAGTCTTCACGTTCAGATAATCTTCCCGGCTAGCAAACTTCGAACGGAAGCATTAAACTCGAGTTTCGCTCTTATTGAAACCTATCAGTAGTGCATATCATCGCCGTCGTCAGAGACTAGCGTGCTTCTTTCTTAAGTGGGCCAGCTGAATGGTTTATCTGAGTGCAGAGACCACAATCAGGTATAGGTGGTGTTCAGTTCCTAATCTCTATCAATAAATGAAGGTGACTGCGAACTACGCATGACCGGAGTAGATCACCCTTCTTGCGACAATTGTCACTGCTTATTTGTAACACCCGTCGTTTTAATAGAGTGGAGGTTCTGTTTCAATATTTACTTAACGGGATAGTGATCTGACAGTTTCATGAAGTTTGGTACAGGCTTTGTGATGTATTGTTATTCGGGCAATCAACTTCATCATCTATCTATGGTTGATGACCCCGCTCCGAATGATACCAAATCTTTAAGCGAAGTTATCAGTTACATCGTCAGAGTCAGATGTCCATGTGTGTTTGTTCCGTCTTTTAATACATGTCTGAAATTGCGACGTAAGCAATTGACTCGCTTTAATCAACTCTACCGCCTCATTCACAAATACAAGTCCTCCTCGATTGTGCTGTGAACAATTGGATTAAACTAATGTCATAAGAAACACGTAGCAAACAAGCTTGTTTTCAGTGCTACGTGGTTGATGCACTTATGGACAGGCACGTCCGTTGATTGTTAATTCCTCTAGAGCCAGATCTGAATATACGGTATTTGAAACAATAGTAACAAGTGATTTGTGTACGCGGTGGATGATGATTTATCAGTTGTTTGATGTATGTAGATAGATTCACTGAACGTGTCATGCCAATAATAAACACTTGTAAGTACCTATGAAACAAGGCATACCAGTTGGTTGACTCACCTCATCTCAAAAGACAAATAGATGTTCTGGCGGATAAGCGCTCTGCTCTACACAAAGCGTAAGCCTACTTCATAAACATTTGATAGTATTGTGGCTTGGTCGGCCGTTCAACGCAACAATCATGAGAAATATTCTATGAGATAATTTACCGGGAAATTAAAAAACGAAACCAGATAATGAGATGCTGTGGATACCAATATGTTGCGAATTCGGATAGTGTTTCCCCAAAAAATACTCGGGCGATCACGAAATCCCCAACCGAGCAGGTGTTACTCACCAACTTGCTTCAATAGAACTGTCAGGGTACTCGTCATTTATAACCACATTATTGCCTGACCACTTTGTTCTGTCCAACCGTCAGGTGGTTTCGGTGAATATTGCACGACATATTAAAAGCCCAGGTGGCATACGGAGTACGCGACCCAAACATCCCACTTCGCGTCTATACCTTTTGGTCAACCGATCACATGAGAAGCTTCTCGTCTGTGACAGTGAGATTGGACCTTGACGCGGTGTGACGGCTTGCACACCTCGATGATCTTTTGGGCTAAACTGGACGGTGTGGCCACCACACCGATAGAGTCACTCATACCAGACAGGCCAATAGGTAGACGTCTGACGAACCAGTCTCCTGGTCCTCTAGGTTGGGGGTTGAAAGAATGCTGGCATCTTTTTCCGGAAAACGTACCAGTCCTGGTACATTGCCACCCATCCGCTGCCTTGCGGTATAGGTTTTTTAACCGAAGGCTTTGGTTGAGAACCCTAATCTTTCTGCTGTCCAGGTGTGGGCGTCCTGCTAGTATCTCAGCCCACGTACAACCATAAATAATCATAACACAAGTACTTCCATACTGCATCGGTCGTCTCGCAATATAAACCAGGTCACCCTAACCGCTGCATACAGCAGGGTGGACAGGCGAAAACATGTTACTGCTGACGCCTCCCCCACTGTCCTATCTAATTTAGTTCTTAGGCCCCTCCCGACCTCCATTTCTGATAATTGTTCTACAGGTTCCACAACAGATGTAGCTAATCGTGGTAACACTGAGCCGGTAAGTTCTGTCTCTTGCCATTCGGCTTCATGCCTCTCTCGTCCCTTGCTTTGACCTAGAATGCGAATTAATATAGGTGCCTTCAACGTTCGCACTCTAAAACAGATAGGTGAACAGGCCGCTCGCACACGAACGTTAGACTCACTGTATGTCGATTTCTGCCGTATCTCAGCTATTAGAATCCAGAACAGTAGTCAGCGTATGGAACAAACAGCACCCGCATTGTCTACCCGATACCGGTTATACATCTCAGTTGACTCCATAGCCGCCGTTACAGGTCAGGCTGGAGTAGGTATAGTTAGTAGCACGACGGCCGCAGCCGTATTGATAGATTGGCTTCCTGTTAACAGTAGACTTTGTACCATCCTTTCGGCAGGTTCTGTTAAGGTCAGTTCTAGTCGCAATACTTCCAGAAATGTATTCACCGTGTCTGCTCACTCTCCTGCTGACTGTAGTGACGTCGGCGTCAAGGTCGAATTTCACTCGAATTTGGCCACTCTCGTTCAGTCGACACGTGGCTCTGATATAGTCGTTCTTGCCGGATATGTGAATGCCCAGGTCGGTCGCCTTAGTGAGACCGAATCTCGTTTAGGTGGCAAGTTTGAGATAGCGTCACATCGGTCAGATAATTGAGGGTAATTGTTGCCGCTATGCGTTGAGCACAAGCTATTTTTAGCCAGTACCAGTTTAGGCATCGTGCGTGTCTGCTGTACTTGGCGCCCGCCTTCTCCGAATCGGGCCTGGTCTCAGACAGCTGCTAGTTATAGGTGATGTGGTTCGATTCAAGACTGTCGTTCTTATTGGAACACATACTTGCATTCAGATCATTCATTGGTACTTTGTCGTTTTGTTCTTACTTTTGCGGGACCACGACCCTATCAACAGCAAAAACTGGCTTTACCATCGGTAAAGCAAAAGTACCAAACCAGCTTAGAAAGCTGCCTTAGTGGTACTCACTCTGAAGATCCTAATAGTTGCTGGACTCAAATCTCACAGGCAATTTATGAAGCAGGTACTGCAGCATGCGGCACAGTGGTGCATGGGCTGAACAAAAATTGGATTTCAGAGAAATCGCTAGAGTTGTTAGAAGCCAGACGGAAGATTCCTCCTGGTAGTTCACGTAACAAGTGTAGAAGAGATATTCGTAGGAAACTGAAACGTGGTCTAAAGGCTGATCGTGAGGCTTGGTTAGTGGAAAAAGTCAAGGAAATGGAAACCGCCTTTGCTTCAGGAAACAAAGGCAAACTCTTTAAGCTTACTCGTGCCGCTGATCCCAGGCGATCGTCTATCAGTGAAGCTATCAAGGAGGCAGATGGCACACTAGTTTATAATAAATCCAAAGGTTTAGAACGTTGGGCGGAACATTTTGGGGGTCAGTTTAGCTGACCTCCTGATTCTATTGTGTTGCCGCCGCAAACGTGTCATGTAGAACCCCGGCCGGTAGATGTGGAACTCCTCCATTGAGACTGAGATTAGCAATTGCATCTCGGCTCTCAAACGTAATAAGGTTGCTGGTCCAGATGATCTAGTGCCAACACTTCTCAAAGAAGGTGGGTAAGCCTTTGTAGAGGCCTTGACTCAGTAGTCTCAACTTGTATGGACAACAAAGACCATTCCTCCTTGCTGGGGTCACTCGATGATAGTTCCCATATTAAAGAAATTAGCCCGGGCTGTTCTGAAAACTGCACGACGATTAGTTTGACCTTAGTCATTTCAAGGGTTCTAGCATCCATTATACTTCATTGACTAACTGCAGTTAGGGAGTTAAACATTAGAGAAGAACAGGCAGGGCTTCGTCCTGGCCGGGGATGTATTGACCATATTTTACCCTTCGTCAAATTTTGGAGTAGCATCATGTGTACCGCCAGCCAACAGTCGCCGTATTTCTCGACTATAAAGGTGCGTTCGATTCGGTGGATCGATCTACACTTTTAGAGTTGCTTAAACGCGGAGGTGTGCCGACCGAATGTGTAAACATACTGTCGGCTGTTTATTCTCATACTTCAGCTCAGGTTGAGGTTTACGGCAAACTGTCTGGCAGTTTCAGTACCGTGAGCGGCGTATGTCAAGGATGTACACTTCCACCATTTTTGTTCAATTTCGCCATGGATGAAATAATGAAGGACTATCTGCGGCACGCAAATAATGCCGTCGTGGACCTCCTACCTGGTGGAAGGCTGACTGGTCTTGATTATGCTGATGATAGGGTGTTGCTGTTTGACAACTTTCAAGCGGCACAAATTAAAAAAAACAAAGCTCTATATTTGAACGCGTCTTTTTTGGCTTGCCTTGGGAGTGAATAGGGGACAATCGCGATACTATTCGGGACCGGGATTTTGGGCGCTAATATTACGGGGACGAGGATCCGAATTTTGCTAAACGAATTACAAAGCTAGAACAAACCAGCGTACGGCTTAGAAGGGTTTACAACAATAACGAAGTCATGGAAGTTGTTGACCGATTTGTTTACCTTGGAAGCTGCATCAGCGGCGATGGCGGAGGTGTAGGGAATGAAATGGGGGGCGCGAAGTTCCAAGGCTAGGATGGTGTTTGCTAATCTGAGATACCCATGGCGATAGAGAGGTATTTCTCTGAAACTTAAGGGTCGCGTATATCAGACAGCAGTGAGGATTGTATTACCTTACGGCAGCGAAACCTGGTCGCTTAACTGTCTTCAGGTATTTGATCGCCGATGTCTGCGTTCATTCGCTCGTATCGAGTGGCACCAGCGAGTAAGCAACGAAAAGGTTAGGAAACAGGTGTTTGGTATTGATTATAAAACGAGTTTTTTTGTTCAATCACTACATTTACACAAACGTA